CCCCAGCAGTCACCAACGAGCTTATCACTAGAGACCACCCATAAGAAGCTGTAGATGAAAAGTAGAGCCTATGTATTGCCAGCTAAACAACTAAGTCAAAATAAAGACTCTCAAGAAATTAAAAAACTGCAGAAGATGATGAAAAATGACATCTACAACCAACAGAGTGGATGATGACAAAGAGAAAAATACACCTTGCAGACTTTCCCAGATCACTCCTGACTCTGGCAAAGTGGCTGACGATGATCTTTCCTTTTGCAGGCGAGGCTGAGATGGCCTTTGTGCCAACCAAGAGGAAAAAGAACACCAAAGGAAGTAACCAACAACAGGCTGGATCCTTATCTGCTGACAGAGGTGAATCTTGTATTCTTGTTTTTAGCTATTAATTGTGCCAAGTCCAGTGACCAGGTTCTCAGTTGATGCCAGTATCAAGGGAGTTATATCTTCTTATTCTAGCCAAAGTGCTGGCCACTAACTTATGGCATAAATTACAGACACATTGCATGTAATTTATACCATTTTCATTTAAACTCTATGAAAATACAAGCCCATCCCTTTGCTTCTAAAATAATCCAAGACAGAAATTATTGATATTGGCTGCCAAACATCTAGTGGAATTAAAATATTTTACACTAACATTTTAAATATTTTGTTGAAAATGTGAAGAAAACCTCAAGCTATCCAGTAACAAGCAGCTCTTTTGAAAAGAAATTATTACTTTTTTATGGAGAGATAATTTGGCTGAAATGCCACAAATCTTTCAATGACAAAACCAACAGTATTATTTTTCTGACGTACTCATTGTTGAGCTCAGCTCTGTGCATTAGCAGTAAAAAATACATTTGTTTCAAACAAATCTTTTTAATACAGAGGTAATCTTTAGGGCAATGCTTGTCTTTAGAACAACGTTTAGATCATTTAGCTTTCTTAAATGAAAATTTCAGTTAGAGTTAAACTCTGAATTCTAGAGAAATCAGCTACTGTTGTTAAACCTCTCTTTACATGGAAAAGGGAAAAAGGAACTTCTGTCTTTTAAGCTCTGCTTTTTTTTTTCTTTTGTTAGCAAATGACACAAAACAGTCTGCATCTTCCTGCCAGTGTGCACAGTATCCCCACGTGCACTGAAAGCAGAGCTGAGATGAGATAGGAGCTGCTTATCCAGACACCGCCAGCACACAATTCCCAAAGAAATTAATGAGCCGAATTCAAAATTGTCTCAAGCGGTGTAATTTACTGGCTGCACCGGGTGTGAAGACAATCTCTGTGTGGGCTCTCTGGAAGGGAATCCTACTGTTTAATTTCATGCTGCTAGTTCATGTGACAAGTTAGAAGACTGTTTCCCCGAGGGCTCTCCCCCCCTCTGCACCACAAATACCTTTTGGACAGAGAGGCTCTTTCACAGGACGAGGTAGAGCTGCGATCAGATGCACCACCTCAGCCTCTGAAATATCCACTCCTCTCTGCTGATTAGGTCTGCAAGCCAAGCCACTCTGCCTGCTCTTTCCTAAGAGCTCAAGTCCCAACAAGCATCAAATCCCACCTCTGATAAAGAAGTGAAAAGGCCCTTGCCTGAAATTTGTGCAAGCAGGCAACAGCAATAAGCCCCTGCATCCCTCTCTCTCCTTACCTCTTTAATATTTAGCCATCTAAGGATGCAAAACACACAAACAAATGAAGACTAAGGGGACTGATGCTTAAATAATACATGACAAAAAATTCAATGCAATGAAGGTTCATTTTTCATGCTGGGAGATTCCGTAATTAGACAGAAAAAGAAGATAAAAGGCTCCCACCCCCTGGGTCTCTGTATAAAGATTAGAGAAGGAGAGACAAGTATGTGTTCAGACTAATGGACGAATACCTTACCAGCACTGCAATCATTGCAGGATATTTCCTGTGTCCGTGTCTCAGGATAAATGGGACTGTTTAAAATTGGTTAATTTCTTAGCAATCCAGGCAAGGAGGGAGATGATAAAAGAGCCAAAAGCTCTCGCAGGAGGTACGAATGAGCAATTAAATGTTAAAAATAGATAAGTAAATATTTACAGTCGCATATCAGACAGTAACAAGAACAGCACTATAACACACCGTGCTAAGGCAGAGGAGGGAGATCAGCCTCCTGCGTGGAAGATACCAGTAGCTGGAGGGGTGGTACCACTTCATGGTACAACCTTTTCATAAAGTGCATCAGGTCTAGGAAACAGTTGAGCTGTACTACTTTTCTGCACGTCTTTTAATTCGCCTGGTGTTTATGCATAATGCATTAACCCTGCCTTTGAGCTACTTTCAAACAGTTGGTTCAAAAAAATTGGCTGAGTTGCTAACAACAGTTGCTTCTGGAGGAAGACAGAACACGTTCTGTTTTCGCCTGGTCTGGTGCCGTGATGGCAAAATGAGATAATGCCCGAGGAGCCGGGCACCGGGCACTGCTGGAGAGTTCTCCCCAGTGCAACGGGGAGAACTGCAGCCATCAAGGACATCTCTGCTCCGCAGAACCAGAACTGGCAGCTTGGAATTCTCCAGGGAAAAAGCTCGTTTTGGTTGGTTACAAGACATTGCCGAGGCAGTGTTTTCCATCACGGAGGTTGAAACGCCCTGGCTTGTTTGAACTGGTTGTTTAGTGTGTTCTTTTGGTTTGTTTTGGGTTTAATTTAAGGAGGAAATTCAAGGCAGCAGTCCAGGGATTAGCACTGGTAATGCTGCAGTTTGTAACAATGCTAAGGCTTTTACTGATAGAACCCTTCCGTGCCGGGTGCTACCTGAAGCAGAAATTTAAAGCAAGTCCTGCCTCAAAGAGTTTGCAGTCTACTTCCTTTATTCCAAAGCAAACTGAGCCAGGTGTGGGAGCCTGCTGGGAAATCCAGTAACTGTGGGCACACAGTGGGTTGCACCTGTGTCCATAGGTGGAGTGTGACGAAGACGTAAAAACAAGTGCTTGTAAAATATGAGATAACAACGTCCAATATCTTTGCTCCACTTAAGTCAAAGGAGTTTTGTCATTGAGATAGAAGTTTTTACTCATGTGATCACAGGTTGTACTGTAACAAATAATGATAAAAGAACAGTCCAAAGAGTAGATAACTCCAGTCTTGTCACCTGCTTGCCTCCTGCTCCCTCCATCCCTTCTCCCGCCTCATTCCAATGGGAACAGAACTAGGACAGGGTAGACTTTTTCTGCTATTCACAGGCTTTACTGCTCCCCAAAGCTTTGTGCGTAGCCAAGTTGAAGAGAAACCAGAGGCGTAGTTTCTCAGCCCCTGGAAGTATTAAGCCTTTGTATGTTTTTTGTAGGTTTGGAGCCAGTGATTTGGGTATCAGTATCCCAAACACTAGTTACATAAGTAGTCATGAGCTGTTCTGGAATCAAGTGCCAGACTCGCAATTGAGTTACCAGCCAAGAAATCAGACCACAGACAGAACTTTCTTGCTGGGACCAAGATAATGGATGATAAATCCAGCAACGGTTTTGAGGCTGATGACACCATTACATCAGATCTCACTTCAGAAACCATATGGTTTGCCCTTTTGAAGTCCTTTACCAGCAATCATATTCAAAATAGAATTTCCCATTACTAGTCTTTCTTTCATTCAAATCCAGATGTGATTCAAGATTCCAGCTGGTAATGTCCTTCATCTCATTTATGTGTTATAATGTCATTGATCTGTTTTGAGAACATTTGCACAACGTGAAGATTGATCAGATAGAAAATGCTCACATGTTGTATTTTTTTTTCCAACTGTACCACAGTGTATGACAGTCTGGTTGCATCAGGCAAGGCCCTGAACAAGTTTTTTTACTTTAGTTAAAACAAATACATTATAAAGTACAGTGTTAGACCTCTTGGCCTGTATCTCTGTCAGGATGAGATGGCACCTGAGTTGCTTCAGCTGCTTTGAAACATTTTTATGCCTTAGAACACAATTGGCTACTGCACCAGAGAATTATCTGTGCTGCATGAAGAGCACCAGAGATCCGAAATACAGACAAAGTGTGGAGGTGGTGGGGAAAAGTCATGGAGTCTCATTTTGCCTTGGAAAAGAAAAGCTTTTGCTATGTACTATACAGGGAAATCTCTTGACAGAGGAAGATCTGGGAGCGATGTTTTCGGTTTAGTTTATCATTCCTAGAACACCAAGAAGTTAAAGTTCTTCACAACTGCTAAAGCTAGATACATGCTCTCACGTTCTCCTCCACAGATAACCCAGCAGCACTTACTGGTTAGGTAGATCCCATTAACTTTGTACTGAAAAAAAATTATTATCCCCTACAAATTCAGCAGCTTTTGAGCCCCGTGATCTGAGAATAAGCAATAGCACCATCGCAAGCCTGACACCATTAGTTACCAGTTTGAAGCAGGGTGTTTCCCATTCCCACCCCTGCAGTCATTGTCACCGCAGTTATCATGTGCCATTCCACTCTGTGGCTGCCTGTCAAGGGGGACATCAGAGCTGTCACATCGTGGGCTTATCAAAATCCCTTTAGGCTTTCGCAGTTTCAATGAATAGCGTATAGCTCATGCTTTTCTTGCCCTTCTCCCTTTGTACCTGCACACCTCTCTAGACCCTGCAGTTTGTCAGACTCTCCCAGAGCCACCTCTAGCTTTCCGTCTGAATAACTGGAATGGTTCATGCTCAGCTTAGGGCAGAACTGAGACCCACCTAGACAAGATATCTGAGGAAGTCCCGTGAAGCAGAGGCCTGCCGAGTGAGAGAATGCCATTTAGCTGATTGGAATGTTCCCTTCTACTGCATATTTTATTATATTTCCTCTGTTTTTCCACTTAATATACCATGGTACATGCCACCAGGTTACATTAGCAATAATTTCTGAATTATTTTAAGAGAATGCCCCTAGTGATGGCTGCAATTGAATAGCAATGCTATATTGAAGCAGTGCCTTACCTTACAGTATTTTCTTCTGTAATAGCTGCTTTTCTAGTTGTGGGTTTTATGGAGAAGATCCCAGATCATCTGAAGTTTCTCTGTTTCCACCTTTGCAGCTACTTCCACCAGCTCTGAAGTGGAGCTTGACAAAGCCAAGCCTAAGGAGAATGGAACACATGGTAAGGCATGCCCTCAAGAAAAACAGCCAGAAGAAGAGATACGAAAAGTACCGAAGAGGCCAGGACCATATTTTTATATCGGTGGATCTAATGGGGCTGGACTGTAAGTAGGTCCTCTTGGCAGACTCATATGAAGAGTAGTATGACCCTATATGAAGTCATGCAATGTTATCCATTATCCATTGGCCTCAAATGTTTATCCTTTGATTTGCTGTCTTTTTGGAGTGGTACACCTGGGGAACCATTTAAAGATAATTCGAATGGAAAGTACCCACTGGAAGGCCACCTGTAGTAATGTAGCAAAACTACTGTATCTTTGCAAAAAAACAAAATACTTCTATTTGTTTAATGAAAGTTTCTCTGTTGGGGCTGTTCAGAAATCACTTAGCTACAGCATGTAGCAAATCTGCTAGCATCATCGCTAGAGCCAGGAACCACTGCTGTTGATCAGCATTGCGTTGTGCTAAATGTAAAACAAGCGAAAAATAAGAGATTTCTGCCCAAGAAAAAGTGTCAGATCAGAAGTTCCATTCATTCCTTCCTGAGTTCTTTCCAGCATATCGACATTCTTCTCTAGATATTGTCACCAGCAGGCACCACAGAATCTCTGCTGCAAACAGAGCTTTCCTTGCTATGTTTCCATAGCTTTATCTACAAACAGCTTTTTCTGTTGCTACTTGTCATGTCTCCCTAAGGAGAGAGTCTCCTTATTAAGACTGGACCCTGAACATTTCTATTCCGTGGGTACCAGTTGCATCCTAATTGGAAAAACCCTGCTGCAATGGTACAAGTTCTCATTAGAGCTGCTGAATCACAATGTCCTTAGCATCCTCAGTTACTCCCCCACCCCCTCAAGTGCAGACCAGCAGGTCCACTAGCAGCTGTTCTAATTAATGCTTCCCACCTTATCCCTCACCCAGGGGCTTCTGGAAATGCTAGGTCAGGCTCCCAGAGAAAATTATTAGGAGTTCAAAGGATATGAGCTAAGTAAGTATTTGTAAATATAAGGGAGGCTACTTTGCTATTTTGTTTTCCATACGCAGTGTGAGCATCTATTGCCAGAGCAGAGGTTGGCAGCGTATCTATGACAACAGAAGAGAGGATTATGCACTGAAATGGTGTGAAATCAAGTGCCGAGAGACCTATTACCATTTCAAAGAAGGTAGAGGTGCCTGTGGGCCTTGAGTGGGAGAGGGTAGTGGGAAAAACTGGAGAATACTGGACTCATGACTCCCAGGGCAGAGGAGGTCACCTGGGGGTAGGAGAAACAGGTAACTTCAACTTCTTGGCAGACCTCAGAGCTGGATTGCCATGGTGATTAAAGAAAGGGTTTTAGACAAGAAAACAGTTTTGAGAGAAAAAATGCCATTGGAATGAACTAAGTATAGTGAAATGAGCAGTACAGAGATTTAAACACAACCTGTCACACTCACTTTTGAAATGTAGTCCTCCCTCTTTGGCTTTGAGCACAGGCTGCAATAGGATGGACGTGGTACTGTGGCACAGGAACAGCACACAGCCCACCCTGGCACCCCTCGAGCACTAGTCTAGGCGTACGGGGGTGCCTGGCATTTAGAGATCCTCCTCACGGTGCAGGTGGGGAAAGGAGAAGAGGAAGGAGGGTGCACTTGAAGAGTGAAGTAGAGTAAGCTCAAGACGGGTCATCCCACACATCCCAGGCCCAGCTATCTCTACCTGGGAAGAACAGAGTCATTAAAAGCCAAACTAGTGCACTGTGGTAGCAAGCTACTTTTTGAATTGTGCTCTGCCCTTCGTCTCATCGGTGCATCCTGCCTTCACAGGGACCAGCCGGTTTTCCCACCAGAATAGCATAAAATCAAGGGCTCCCACAGCAATGTCTGTGGCTGGCACCCTCAGAGAGGTACTTTGCATGACACACACAAATCTCACTAAGCACAGACCCTGGGGCAATTCTTCTACTTCTGGGAGCTGGTCAAGACCTGTGCCCTGGCAAGCCTGAGCATCATGGCACAGAGCTGCCAGCTTTCCTGTGGCAGAGCGAGACTGTTATCACTTCCCTGCACAGCAGACACCTCCTGCCAGCTCTGATGGCCATGTGGTGGCTATTGACCAGGCTGCACCACTACAGCCCTTGGCCAAATATACTGTGGTGCAGATGGGCTATGTTTCAGTGCAATTCTGCAGCTGGGATGCTGTGATGGCAGTGGCACCTTTGGAGTGGGCAAGGGATGCACAATTTCATGAAGCTCCATCAGGTTGGTCGTTCCACCACAAGTTTGGACAGAAACATGTTCACAGCAAGTGATTTCACTGCTCTGTCAGTTGTCACTGCTGCCTTACAGCAAACTGGTAAGAGTTAACAATGACAGTCAGCTTCAGCTTTTTTTTTTTTTTTCTCATACAGGTGATCAGCTTCTCTATCAGATTCCCAACAATGGAGTCCTCACCAGTAAGATAGGGCTTCTCTGCTGCCTGAGAGAGCAAGAGCAAGTGATGAAAAAGATCAGTAGGAGCACTAATTCCAAGTAAGATCTCTCAGCTCTGAACCTTGACCAGAAACATGCCAACAGAAAGCGAGAGTGCATAAACAAAGGACCAGTTTCTTCTGGATGCATAGCAGTAGAGGATACAAAGTATATGGGGGTTTATTTCTTTCTTATCTTCTAGAAAAATCACTTATTTTCCAGAGGTACATACATCAGAGACAATTTCTTCTTCCTCTGTATCTGGATTTGTAGGAGTGCCAGGTCCCCCAAAGACAACAGTCATAGTAATTCCTCATTTTTGGGTACCTCGTCCCACTGGAAAGGCCACAACTTCTTGTGCCATTGACACTGTAAATAAAAGAGAAGCTTATTGCCATTTCTGCTTCTATGTTTTTGCCCTGCCAAAAAAAAACCAAACCCACAAATGGCAATACTGTACCATGGTTACCTGCAGCTATGTCAACTAGTTTTCAAAAAACTAAGCATATGAAGAATGTCCTAAGGCTAACACATGTTCTTGAAAGCTTATGGAAAGCAGTAGCTTAACAAAAACATACAACAAACACACAACTATCTACAAGCAGGAAAAAGAGGTAATTTCTTAAGTTTCTACTTGCAACCATCCTTTCTGAAAGTAATAGAGGAATGAATGTGTTCAATAAGGTTTTCAACATGTATTTCATTCTCCCATAGGTTTCTGAAGATGGAAGAATTCTTCCCAGAATCTTTTCGCCTGGACTTAAAAGATGAGAGAAATGCCTTTTTTGAGCTTCACAAAGGTGAATTTTCTTAATCATGGTGCCAACCAATTTAAATAGCTATATGATCCTCTAAAACGTTCATAAAATTATACACAGCAATAATAACTGGTATGTGCATGCATGTGTATGTATATACATACACACACGTTCAAGTGAGCAGTTTCCAGAGCCCACTAATGGGCACATCGGTGTTTCACACACAGAACTATAATAGACTCATTCTCTCTGCAGAAGAACAGATTTGGATCTGCAAACCAAGTTGCTCTAACCAAGGTCGAGGAATTTGCCTGCTTAAAAATGCAGCTGCTGTCAACACCCTTCAAGCCGAGCTCCGCGGCACTGAGGAATACCTACACAGTAAGAGGGTGCCATACAAGGCTCCCCGGGCGAGAATAGTGCAAAGGTAGAGCTTGAAGCCTGGGAATTCATGTGTGAGTGGTGTGCTTGGTTAAGCTCGCTGGCCTCAGCGAGCTGAATTGCTCCATAGGTATCTAATGTGGTTACACCACATCTCATGAACCTATGAGATTTTGTTTTGTGGGATGGAGGCTATTTCTCTGGTCTTGCATCGCACTTCAAGGTAGATTTCAAGTCATTTCAAGGTAGATCTTTGTCATCAGAAAGATTTGAGTTTACCTTTGTCTGGAAATTTAAGAACAGTTTCAAAAGGCCAGGTGCTACAGTTCCATACATGAATGCCGTACATAAAGCCTCGTGCAAAGCAGTTTAAATTAGATATTACTCCAGCTTCTTACGCAAAGCTAGCATTTTACAAATTGTACAGCTACATATCTGTCCCATGCAATCTAATAACCCCCCCCAATATCTTAACTCTGCCTCAGTGCTGCACAAGTCTACACCTCAATCAACAGGCAGTGGCTAGCAGTCACTGAAATTTTGGGTTAGGGTTGCATGAATAAAAGAACCATGAAGGTTCTTCTTTGTAGAATATATACCCTCTCAGCAACTGCTAGAATGTTTTGCAAAGTAGCTGAAGAGCAGAAAAAGGAAGGGAAAAATAAGGCAGCAACAGTCATGAGAAGAGTTTCAGCTACTGAACGTTACTTGCTTACTCTTACACAACTCACTTGACTTCCCTTTGCCTCAGTGCCCCTCCCTCAATTGAGGAATGCATTATAATTAAATCACTTCAGTGCTTTGAGATGACTGAATAAAACTTTCAAAGAGAAATGCAAAAAAATGTTTTCATTGTTTATCCTAGGAACTGCAGTTCCCAGACGCCTTTGATGCTGCCTCTGGTCTGCACAGCCAGGCATACAGGGCACTCTAAACTTCAAGGTGTCCATACACACATGACATTGCCTGGCATTGCCAGGACATGCCAGCAAAGACACTGCGATACACTCATGACAAAGCTGGAGTATTGGCACGGCAGAAACACATTTTGCCATGTAGTGATCACTGCATGTCCTGGCAAAGTGATGATACCAATTCCTCACACGGACCCTCTGCCACTTCCCTGACACTCTGCTACCATGGCTTGGCATCTTTATCGTGCAAAAGAACACAGTGCATCACAACCTTTGCAAGAGCTGCCCTAGCCAAAGCAAGCAATATTCTCTGCTTACTTTCATCCAAACATTTCTTTTCATGACAAAGGAACGATTGGCCTCCTTGAAAAGGGCAAGAGAGATTTGGAACGATGATCTTACAGGCTTTCTGCAACAGGCTGGCCTGCGTTTATGCAGCAGCCAGTATATGGAGCGAAACCACTGCCTGACAAAGTTAAACCAAGGGCCTTAGTTAGACCAATATGTGGTCTTTGACATGGACGAGCAGCAGTGCTGGGGGAAGAAGCAGTTGGACCCTATCTTTGATCTCATCTTGATTTCTATTAGTGAGGAATGACTTATGCTCTGCAGAACGAGGCCCATATTCCTTAGAAAACTGTTGTTCGCGGTGATCGTTGTAGCAGCATATCCTTTTTATTTGTGTGGACATCCAGCAACCTTTGATGATAAAGGGAAGCAATTCCCAGATCACATCACTGTGGCAATAAAAGCAATGGTGCTGTATGAAGGGCTCTTTGTGTCCAGACATAAACTTTGTATATTTCAGTAAATATTAGTAAATCTTTAATCACCTCCTGCTGCCGAGGCTCAGCACCGCGTCCACTCCTCTCAAAGGAGCCATTCCTGGCATTTCTGTCCTCCCCTCCCAGCACCCTCGGCTGCCATTCGCCTTAAAACCAGCGTTGAAAAGGGGACGAGCAGGTTCATTCTGTGGGGTGACGTTAAACGGCTGTGGGCTTTGGTGTGAGCCTTGAACTGCCATGTCGGTGACGCGTGTTGAAATCTTGCTCCGACAGATACATTCACCAGCCTCTGCTCCTGGAAGGGAAGAAGTTTGATGTCCGGTCCTACCTCCTCATTGCCTGCACAGCACCATATGTGTTATTTTTTGGCCAAGGTTATGTCCGGTTGACCTGTGTCGATTATGATGCTGCTTCTGATGATCTGACTGTTCACCTCACCAACCAGGTAAACTAAGGTCACTAAGTTCAGAAGAAGGGGAGGGTGTGGTTGACAGAGGTAGGAAGCAAAAGAGATTTTTGAAAGGTTAAAAATAAATACCTAGTGCATGCAAAATCCGTGCACCCAGGAAATGGATGTGGGCTTATGGTCAGGCATGGCAACAAGGCTGAACTGAAGCAGAACTGGATCAGGCTCTGTTCTCTGCCATGGACCAGTCCTCTGCTTGACTCAACAACTTCTCTCCCTGGACCTCACTTTTCTGCCATTATTCTTCCGTGTATCTGTAGACCATAAGCTTCTTAGGGCAAGAACCCTTTGGTTGCAGCTACAAAGGAGCTCTAACCTTGGCTCAGGATTTTGCTGATCCTGTTGTGCTTAAAAACAGTAATCAAAATGAGGTAAGATGTATATTCTTACATCATTACGTAACATTCTTACTTGTTCTTCAAGAGCCATCACTCTTAAATCTCCATCTTGTCTTGCTTTTCAAATGAGAGCTATAACAGAACAAGACTGTTCTGGCTTGTACGCCCATACTTCTTTTATCATACAAAATAGAAGCCTGCCTTGCTCAGATCTACCCGAGTTTTTGCTTCAAATGAGGCCCTTCGGTAGTTAGAACTGGCCCTGATGAAAGATAATTAAAAGAATTGGAAAGAAGAAAATGGTTTGCTTTTAAAGTCCTTTTCTCCTCGCAGCATCATGCTGTGTTCTGAGAACTAGCACAGTCTGCATTAGAGAGGTACCAGACAAGCCCACTTCAGCTGGAGTGTTACGGTTCCTGTCGAAGTGCAGTTCAGGACAGCAGATTATAGCTGCTTCTTGCAATATATGCTATTATCAGCACACCTCTTGTTTTCCTGGAATAGTTTGTTTGCTCAGCTAGACAGCTATCCACATGGGAATTCAGGTGCTCAGGTAGGATCCCATGGCACAAGTGATATTAAACAAAGGACAGGTGTTTACTAGCAGAACATAAATTATCTGGGTTCCTGCTGGGAGGACGGAAATAAAATTTACAGGAGCGGCTGGTAATGGGCCAGAGTTCTTCAAATTCCAGTTGATTTTGCTCTCATTCCCTTCCTACCCTTTCATTCCACCTGGAATCAGCCATTTTCCTACCATATTTCCAAAAGACAAGAGGCAGCAGAGACAGCATCCCTAAGCAGAGGCTTTGGAGCCTCACAGTAACCGTACTGCAGATGGAGTTGCAGTCAAGGCCAGCTGTTTCACAGGGAAAGGGGACTTGCCTTTGATTGAACAATGTAAATACCCCATTTTTTATAAACTCTAGCTGACATATGGATTAATGAGAGTGGAAGAGAGAAGCCCTCACCTCGCTTTCCTCTGGGAATACATCTCTACATTTCTCCCAGATGGACACTCCTCTAGAAGAGTACTAGGCACATAGACACTGGAACCAGATTTAGTCAAAAGCATATCGTGACTATGACTTGAAAGCACCTCTCCCTGTCTGCCAGCCCCTGGGCCAAACAAACCACACAAACACAAACACACAGAGAAAGCACTGCTTTGACAGACACCCTGAGTAACTGTCTCTACAGCGTCCACGTGGGTCAGGCACATTTCTGCCTGGGGCAACGTTGTGTAATGGGACTCAGCACATTTGCTCAGGTTTAGCTCTGCTAGTGAGGGGCTCTACTCCCTCCACCTCTATAACTTGATCCTGGGGTTCTTCCCGAATCCAGATGTCTGGAAAACTCAGGGTAGCTAGATGCCTGCCATGCAAGCCAGTTCCTAGTTACTCTTCACTGCTAGAAATCTAATCTTCCCCTTGCTCTGTTTCCCCCCTCAGCACATGCAGAAGAAGAACTCCCTGTACAGCCAGTTGAAAGATGAGACAGTTTGGCGGATGGAGAACTTCAACAGCTACGTTAATGAGAAGTTCAGAAAAAACAATGGCCTCCCCAAAGACTGGGTTTTCACTGTGTTTACTGTAAGTGCAAGCAAGTATGGTGTGCTAGTCTGCCTAATTAGGGTGACAGAAATAGGGAGAAAACCCATCAGTTCACTGGAGCCCCCAAGGAAACACATGCACTGAGTGAGAAGGTACTGATGGTCCCATGGTAACCATTTATCTGCAGAAGCTAAACACAGCAGCGAAGACAGAAAGAGTTTAATTTTAATAAAGTGTGTAAACTGCTGAGAAATTGTGAATGTAGATGCTAGCTATAAAAATGCTGTTATGGTCTTCATGTTCCTGGCCCAAAGCTGTGGTCCTGCCTTAAAAAATAATGTTAGAGAGCTCTCCAGCCTGACACGTCTTGGCCTGACAAGGGACTACACTTTCAGGGCTCTCTTTCCTGACTTGGTCTCAACCCTTCACTTTCCATCTGATTTTGCCACAGGAAAATCATGTCAGGGCCTTAGATCTTCTCTTATCATGGAGGAGAGATAAGACGACTCAACTGGCTTAATTTCTTACCATTTTCCTGTCTCATTGAAGAAACAAAGTGAAGAAATTATCTGAGTCTCTGAGACTTCATTTCACCAGCCTGAGTCTAGTGATGCATCAGTTCTCTACATGACTTGCTGGGGTGAAAATGAAAAGGACAGAGGACACAGTTTTCTCAAGTTAATTCTGGATATGCTGTAGTTTAAAACCAAATACAAGGAAAATTAAAAAGCTAAAAACTTTGTTATAATATGTTTTTGTTTAGAAAAACAGCTCAGAAGCAAATCTAGTTGAATTTGCCAAGTTTCTCAGTGGACCAGAAACTTTACAGCCAACTTTATGGTATCTCTCTTCATGCAGAAATTCCCCACTGTGCATTTCAACTTCGAATTGAAAGAAACTTAGCATTACCTACTGCAAGTTGCTGTAGCCCACCAGGCTTCTTTAAAACACTATTTCCAGCACAGCTGTGAGGGGGTTTTCAGTCATCACTGTCAGAAATGGCTGAGCTCAGCTCACATCTAGGTGCCCCCATAGGAGTTAATGAAAGAACACTGCTAAAAATTCTGCAGACAGCTCATTCAGAGTAAGGGCCAAGATTCCTTCGTGCACTACGGCAGCAGTCTGCAGAACCACGTTCAACAAGGGATTTCAATCAACTCAAAGTGGACAGACATATGGTCTACAAAATGCAACACCCTTTCAAGCCTAGAGAGGAGCTCCACTGGAGGCAGGGGAAGAAAAATTGTCCCTAAACCAAGAAGGCACCTATGTCTTACAGTGACTCCTATGCCCTCGGCGTTCACAGTGACCAGTCACCACCATTCCCTGTCTTCTGTTTCAGAAAAGGATGCAGCAGATCATGCTGCAGTGCTTCCTGGCAGCCAAGAACAAACTAGATCGCAAGCTTGGCTACTTTGATCTCATCGGCTGTGATTTTTTAATCGATGAAAACTTTAAGGTACGAATATAATAATGTCAAATACTACATATGATATTGGCCAGGTGTCTAACGTCAGCAGTATAGCATGGTTGGCACACGCTCTGGTGCTAGGAATTAAATAAAGCAGTCAGTCAGTCAGCTGTGAAGGGCAGGATTCAGTTTTTTCTCCAGTTCCATTGTTCAGCATCAAGACATGGCACCTACACTTCCTGCACGTTTACTGCACAGAGAAACCCTGGCATTAACAGCTTAGGATGGGAAGAAAAGTACTGCAGCTAAAACTGTTCTGTGCAGAATTTTCACAGGGAAGTGGAGTTCATAGTGAAAAATATGGGAATTTTAATGCCCACTCAGTTTTTTCTTTCTCCAGAAACCATGTATGCCAGATGATCAGCCAGCATAAATCAGTGTGTAATGTCTCTAACATCATGTGAAATATTCTGATTTACACTGGCTGAGTACTCACAAAAGGCAACAAAGAACTCACCCTCACCGTTCTGAAGAATCAGTCATTATCGATTCAGAAGTCAGCATCAGCAGCATCTCCGTGTTCACTGCAGGTTCACTATTTAGCAATAGGTCAGACCACTGAGTCTATAAAATCTGCTAGAATTACAACTCGAACTTGTAAGGAGTGAATGAAACACAGACAAGAAAAGCCAGGAGAAAGGGAAATGTTAAATCCAGTGATTGAGGTGCTTTCAATGCAGCACCTGGCCTAAACATAACAGAAAGCCATCTGGCAGATTCTGCTGTTGCTAAAGCAGAAAGGAACTCAAACATATTCCAGCAAAGGGCAGTGGGAACAGCAAACCCCAGGAAAGAATGGAGTTAATGTATGCAGCACTGGGTAAGGCACCGGGACAATAGACTCCTTTGTGCAGGAAGTCAATGGCAAGGGAGAGTAAATGGCAAAGACACAGAAACTGGTGCTTCTCAAATTTCAGTGGGAATTGTCTTTTGCAACGTTGGCATGCAAAGCCCTGGCTGTGTAAACTTTAAGTAGAAGATCCAGTATCACTCCATTGTGGCAATTCCTACTTGGCTAGTTAAAAACTCCAGCGTTTAAAGACCATTATGTCCCAATGTATTTTACACACGGCGAAAGAAACAAAATCTGTTTCTTGACAGGTGTTATCTATAAGAATGATGAGGATTTCTGGACAGTTAGTGGTGACAGAGTCAGCTGGAGCCTGGAGCTTCCCTTTGAAAGAGAGCAATGTAGAAATTTAGGCATTTATTCAGCATAGGTTTGGCCATGTTTTCTTGCCCTTGCTGGGAAGCAACAAACCTACTTTTTTATTGGTGCAGTGGTGCATCAAGAGACACTGTACGCTCCCTGCAGAGGCAGTGCACAACAGCTGGGCACAGGACTGACAGCCTCAACCCACAGCTAACACTGGTCGGTGCAGCAAACTCCCAGTTTTCTGTGGGCTGACATTATAACGCCTGGTCTGACATCCTGTCCTCTCCACCTGCCAGCCTTATTCTTGTGGTCATCCTATTTCACAACACCTGCAGAATCTGCTTTATACTGATTTAACGTGGTCTTATAGGTTCGTTCAGTCCTATAGCTGACCACGCCTTTCCCTCTTTCTCATTTGTCTGAGATAGAAATGCCTCCAGCATCATTCCTAATACTTCTTGAAGGCCCTGCAGCATCCTGATTCAGTCTTTGGAAGGTATTTTTCCTGCCTCAGAGTCCTTAGAAGCACAGACCACGGAAGCAGGGCCTGCTAGCTTTCCGTAGAGCTTTGCATATTCATACGTAAACTGAGGAGAGAATGAAGTACTTTAAGAGGAGAGGGAGCAAAAGCGACGGATTCAGTTTTGCCTCTTGTTGGCTTTTTTTCCTACTGTTTTCTGGAGCTTCCTTGTGCTGCACTGTAAATGCCTGAATCGCTACACAGCTTAGGACAGTGGCATTTAAATGCTCAAGGAACCTGTTTTCAGAAAGCATTGCATCAGCCGTGCAAAGGGGCTTCTCTCCAGAGGTATGCTGGGGAGACAGATGTGTAAATTTTTTATCAGCCATAAAGGGATGCAGCTATCTATCAGTCGAGGACAGGCTGAACATAGATAAGCCATTTGCCAATTTGTGATAAATGTACATAAATGAAGATAACACTCAAATCCCCAGTTAAAGCAGGGACAGTTCCTTTTATTTGAATGACACAGCATTTCATTCACCCCGGGAGTATGAGGTACCACATGGATGCTGTAGACTCGATTGTATCTACTCTGGGTCACAACAATAAAAAATTCTGACAAAAGCTTTTTAAGACTGTGGAAAACAGAACCCCACTGCCTCAGCCTGTGGTCTCCACTACTGCTAAGCAGATCCCTTTCTGGGTCAGCAACATCTGAGCAGCCCTTCCAGCGCTCGGTTGTGACTGTGCATGTGGCTTCTGCTATGGCCACACAGGATATCGAGCGAGTTATTTTATTCTTATCTCTGACTAGTGTTTCTACGATTGGACTTCATGATCTTGGAGGTCTTTTCCAACCTAAATGATTCTACGATTCAACGCTGCTTTTCCTGAAATAGAGCTAAGGGCATTTATCAACTTGCCCTGGTTGTTGAGACGTTAAGAGCATTTAAAAACTGTTGAGACATTCAGATGTCACAGATGAAGCTTTCAAAGATGAAACTTTCTTCATCCTGTTTGTCAGTTGCTTTTGTTCCAAAGGGGAAGAAACCAAAACCTAATCAAGCCAATTATTAAGGTTCATTGAGTTTATCTGTCAGCGCAAAATCTTAGGAATATTTAATAGGAAAAAGAACACTTACTCAGGAGTTCGCCAGTAAAAATGTATGTAACTTAGGTGCCCTCTGTTGGCATCTGCAAAGCAGGTTTTTTTGAGCAGTCTTCCTGTGGGGAAAAAAAAAAAGAGACATTTCACTGCCCTCACCAGCTTTTCATTTGTTTAGTAAAGTATTTTAAAGAAGTGAAAATTATTGTTGTATTTTATTCTCAGCAAAATAAAGTGCCAAAGTGAAGGCTATCATGTCGCCAAAACCTACCAAACTCTTAGACTTCATTTCACAGGTGCTTGCAAGCAAACTCATTGATGCTTCAGAAAAAAAAAAAAAAAAAAATTTTTTTAAATCAGTTAAAAGGGAGAAAAATTCTTCTGGGCTGTTACATGATAAAGCGTCCTTCTTTACAAACGCTGAATAGTTTCTGCACATGTTATATATAAGATGCAGCATCATACGGTGGAGGCAGGAAGTGAACAGATGAGTTTCACTATGGGGAAAAGACATAGTAAACAGAATCACACACAAGTCAATTGTTTGGTTTCACACAGATTTGCAACTGGACCATCACATTCTGTGGCTTGTAGCTTCAGACCTCAGCATTTCAAAGGGAAACAGAAATGAGACTCGTATAGATAAGTAAAACTAGTTTCTTACACGCTTCTACCCGAAACTAAAGCTTACCCAGGAAATCAAGGCCAAGGGTTCTTTGAAAACTCAGTACCATGTTTGCTTAGTTTTGATCTCGTGTCCACATCAAATCAAAATGATCTCTAGATTCCTTATAACTTTATTTCATGGTATTCAAAAAACTCACCTAGAAACTGTTATGGAAACTGGTATGCCAAGAAACACAGCACCTTTATACCCCTGTAGAGCAACAGTTTATGTAAAGAGCGTCAGCAGGAGACACAAAATACAGTGTAATGTTGTTCTCAAGTAAGTAAATGTATGCAAAAAGGGATTTTGTTTAATTCATGCAGTCCATATGAGAATTTTGTCCTGCCTGTATTCTGCATTACGGGATTTTGTTGGGATTTATTAGTACTCCTACCTCCCAAGGTGTTCGCCAAGTCAGTAAAAGGGCATTGCTCTGACTCTGAGAGGAACTCACCTAGTTTCCTGATTGGCATTCATCTTTCCTAGGTCTGGCTTCTGGAGATGAATGCAAACCCAGCATTGCATACCAACTGCAAAGTCTTGAAAGACGTCATCCCAGCTGTAGTCTATGAAAGTCTTGGTAAGTGACCAAGTCACAGCGTGGCCAGCAGCAGAAAACCATATCACTCTGTTGCTTGTCAGAGGAAAGATTCCTGTTTATATCAGTTGTAGGTCCAAAACAGTCTTTGGATAAAGATATCTCACTGCTGAGTTAAGCAATTTAGAAGGCACTGAAAAGTCTAATCCACTCAGACCTAGAAAAGCTGTGGTCTTTTTAGCTGCGCACCCATTAGAAAGAAAGAAGTGGTTAATATTTTTTTTGTTATAATTATTTTTAAGAATGTTGTCTTACATATTTATGTACAAAAGACTAAATCTTAATACACAACCCTATAAACTGCACCTGCACATTATTCTCGTGCCTGCTGTTCTGAACGTGCAGGAATTTAAGTTGTTTTTTACAGTGTACCTTACGCAGCTGTGGCAGTGCTTAAATGCCAGTGTACCCCACCGTACTTCACAAATATAGCTGGCAACTGTGATATGAACTGTGCAAGGACTGAAAAAAAATCCCTGTGTACTCTGATACACATTAACTAGCATTACTCCTGCTTGGATGACCAAAATCTCTTTCACTCCTGATGTTCTGTGATATCACTGTATGTGTAAGAAGTAGTAAAGGGAGAGTCAATGTCTGCACGACTTCCATAGACACAGCTACCTTCCTGTGCATATGTGTGTTTATTTTAGGGTGTATTTGTATCCTCTATTGCATTGTAAGCAGTTTTAGCATATTTTTCCTACCAATTTCCTAAAGTGTTTCCAGTGGAGCTGAAGCTGGCTGAGGCAAATGCAAGAGAAGTGTGGTGATTTGTTTGATTATTTTTAGATTCTCTTAAGAGTAATAGTCCACAGAAGCTGCAGATCATAGGTTGGAAACCACTTCCCCTCCTCACCCCTCCTCCTTACCACGCACGCAGCTGCTTTGCGCATACACATGACAGCTTGGGTGCATTTTAGTGTCAGAGTGTTTACACCATCTCATGACGGCATCTTCTTTTCCAGATTTGGTTCTTGAGGTTTTCCACAAGCGCCTCAAAGGCCAGAGTGTTTTGCCTTTAGAGACACTCCGTCATTTTGTGCTTCTCTATCACGAGGATGCTGCAGACCTCGGCCAGAAACAACCCTCGAAGCTCAGAACTGGCCTGTGCACAGGCCGATTTCTGCAGCCACACACAGGCAGCGCTAGCCACTTCGGTCAGAGCCCTGCCAAAGTGCTGGAGAACTCTTCCAAGAAGCTCAGTTGCTCTAAAAAAAAGGCTCCCTTGTTGCCCAGAAAGAATTGTCGTCAATAAACTGTCCTAACTATACCACATATGCATGCAGCTCTTCAACCATCATGGAAAAACCTTCTGAACCATCCCAGCGCAAGAGGGCTTTCACGAGTTCAGAAGAAAAAAAAAGAAAATAAAAACTAAACTTGTACGTGCTGTGCACACCCAGCTCATTTCCACCTTATACAAACAAACAGGTATCAACCTCAACTGGAAAGCCAGTAACTATTTAAGAGTTCTTAGTTCTTCTGCAGAAAGCTACACCTGAACCAGCCAGCCAGAAATTACAGGAACGTTACAGAAAATAAGGCAACCGTTACCACATTAAAACTCACCCCTTCTAAAAACAATGCTGATCTGATCAGTGCAATCCAAAAACGGGCCAAACTTTTTGCATAAAGTCCTTACAAAAACAGGCAGAGAGAGAAGCTGCAAGGACTAAAGCTACAGCTTAACAGTGGAAATCCTCCAGTTTGCCCCTTCAATCATAGCTGTCTCTCCAGCTCCTTCACTCATTAGATCCTTGGTGCCTTGCACATTTAATCTCGTTATATTAAGGCTGTCTTTCATTTTTCGTCTGGTTGAGGTGATAGCCACGCAGCAGCTCGTACTTATGGTATCGGGCCACCATCTCGGCAGGAAACGATGACGCTTGGGGAGCTGAGGAGATGGGGAGGGAGGGAGAGAGGTCTGAAACCAACAGGAAGTGCTTTTACATCTCAGACGCTGCTGCTTCTGACCCGAGAGGAATTCAAACGAGCAGTAAGTTGAAGGGCACATGCGTGTTTCCTTCCCCTCCTGCGCTTACTCTGACTGACCGTGGTTCTGACACATTCACGTGGTCCTGCGACTGCGGCATCACTTTGAGTCGAGCATCTGTGGACGGGGAGCCGGTGGCCGAGCATGGGATGCTGCAGCCTGAGCTCTGCAGGGACCGGCCAGGAGGAGGGGGAGCTGCTGCAGACAGGCAGGAGCAGGTAGGCAGCAGTGGGGGGGGGCGTGTGAAAAACACCCATCAGCTCCACTCAAACCGAAAGACATTTGGTGCTGGAGACTGAAACTCGGTAGCGGTATTTGCCTTCCAAATATGACTCCCTTAAAGGAAAGCTTTATCTTCTTCCCTTTTTCTAGCCAGAATTTACAGTAATGCTAAGTGTCAGAATCATCAGATCTTCTAACTAGAGCCTGCTTACTTCTCCTCAATATGTCCCCACTGGTGTCGCAGTCTTTTAGGACAGAGGGTCAGCATTTGAGAAGCCAAAGGTGGAAACGTTCCTTCCTGCCCTGGATGTAACTCTCTCTGTTATGGGTGGGCAATAACTCCTGGGGCTCTGGCAAGCACTGCTCATGTTTTGTCAGAAATTGATGTTTTCCATCAGACTGTCACGTCAGAGATAGATCAGAGGCCTGAAAAGAAGCTGAGGAGGCCTTCAGTCCTGCTGCCACTTCGGAGCAGCCTCAGCTCTCCCTAAACCCTGCTTGGCAGACACTTGTCTAACCCATCCCTGTAAAACTCCAGTGGTGAAGGTTCTGCAGTGTCCCAGGAAAGCTGCTGTTTCTTCCTAATAGCTGATCTTTAATGCAGGAAAGGCCATTGTCTCTACCATACGCTCCGTGGACAAAAAGGAAAAATTGTTCCCCTCCTCTTTCTAGTGGTCTTTCACTTATGTGAAGACTGTTACCACAACACCTCAGTATTCTTTACTTGAGGCCAAGTGTTGAGCTACATTATACATTTCCGTCCATAATTTCACCGTATTGCAAGGAACGGTGTTGTGCTTTCCTTGTCCACCAAGGCCGGCGCACTGAGAGTGCCTCCATCATCCCTACACTATTTTCTATGTAATGCCAGTGGAAAATCAGGAGTCTAAGTGCTCTGTTGAATTTAGGACCTAGTCTCTGCTTAACGTGAGGGGACATTTAGTGGTATGTTCCCCAAAAATTCAGGTGTGTTATTCCCTGACATGCCTGCTTTCTGATTCTTCATCTGCTTTATTTTTTTTCCCTACGTTTCACAGAGCTGTTACCAACCAATATTCCTGTTGAAAATACCATATTCTAAAATACACCAAGTTTATGCCAGAAATCCATAAATTTGTCTGTTCACTGAGCATTAATCTCTCTCTTTTTGAAAAAATACAACACATATAAGTACTTTTCTATGCCTTTCCATACTCTCTTCTATTCCAGAACGTGGTCCAACTCAGAAGGCCAGAGTGAGACATCCCTCCACCCTAAGGACCTTGTAATCTTGGCAGAAGCAGAAGATGTGAGTACGAGCAGGGTCATGCAAACAAAGATTTATATGTAGAATGAAGGAAGAAATCAGAGGCTTATTTATCTCACCGACCATAGCATTATCCTCATGCAGTATCCCATTACAGTAAAGTGCCAGAGGCTACAATATGCCTTTTGTTTTGAGAGCAAGTAACCAACAGTTCTCTCTGTTTTGAGGCCCAGGTATAGGTTTTCAGCATTTGTTCTACAAATCCACATGCAAAAATGTTTGTCATCACAAGTCAGTTTTGGATCTTTTTCCTGGGATCATGTTTTATCACCATTATTGAGAGAAGATGCTCAAAGGGAGGGGAAGTGATCTATGCAAATTCACATGTATGGTCAACACCCAAATCTCCCACCGTCTGGGCTGCAAAACCACCCCATATCTCTTTCAGCTAGTGTTTTAAGTCATTATTGTTTGGCTCCCGTTTCCATTTTTCCACATCTAAATGTCTTTACAGGATATTCCCGGTAAGATTATCAGAAGAAACGCCTGCTAATGTGTGTGTTTGTTTCAGACAGAAGTACTGTGGGGAAGAACTCCGGAGGAACTAGCAAACTTGTTGGTCACACAGCCTATCAGTGGCTGGGAAGGGATGAACATCCACTCTCTTGGAGAAATTATTTGGTCCTCCTTGGTTTTTCTGAGAAGTTATTGCATGGAGGTAATCATCCTCTTACAATAACCACTGAGTAATATGCAAGGGATAAGGTGGGGTGAATCTGGATTTCATACATCCTGTCCAAATTACTGTCAAATCCTAGGGCTTGACTAAAGCTATAATTTGTCCTGACCTTTGCTTTCAAGGCTAATACATTCAACTTTTTTCACCAGTGCCAGCAAAAGCTAAATGGATTTCATAAACATTTCCTTGAGCAGCATAGATCTTTTTATCCATTTCCTGGGGAAACAAAAATATGGTTTTTTTGTCAGAAGTTTCTTGTATTCTTTTCCCCAAAGAAATAAGGACTGGTTATTACACTTGCAAATTTGTATGTGTAACAATTGAGCCCTCTCTACAGGTACCGGAGGTGACTGGTAAAACTAGTGCAGCGTGATTGCCATTACCCTGGTTTTGACAAGGCCAGAAGAGGGAAATGAGATGTACTCTAACTTTACTATGGATTCATGTCTAATGGCACATCACTGTTTATCTGGATGTATACACACCAGTAAAACCACCCTGTCTCACAGGAATGCCATGGTCTGTCTTAGTAGTGCTCAGAGAGCACATAGAGACTGTTTAAGGAAAGATGATATAAAATTACGAAGTACTGACATAAATCTTCAGTCAAACTGTGACCTAGTGCAAGACAGTCCAGTAGTTAAACACTGCATAGTTCCTAGTTACCAACCAGTCCCTAAGCTCGACAGCCTGTCAGCACTGTCTGGACAAAAAGATGCCAGCAGAAAGGAGGGGAAGGTGAAGAGCTTTGAAGAAATATGATTTCCTTTTTAGAAAAAAACAAATTGGGAACATTTTGGAGGAAAGATTTAATTGATCTTATTTCAACAGGAGATGTGTGAACGTTACATCGTGCTGTCCCCCTTCCACTTGCTGATTCTTTCAGTGGATCGTACACAGAAGGCGTTTGTTTATGAGGTGAAGCACAATAATCCTTTTGTGTCTGTTGTATCCCTGTCCATACGCAAGATTTCCTCAGTATCCGTTTGCTCACAGCTCTAACATGTACATGGCAAAAAGAGTACCCACCTTCGGTGCCCAGCCAAGAGGAAGGAGCAAACATGTGCAGGTCCCATCATCTAAGACAGAGACACTTCACTGAGTTCAGTGGAGCTTTGGCATGTTTTCTGTCACAGCAGCTCACGATTCTCCATGTCTTCAGACAACGAGCTGAGCAGACTTCCTTAAATTTAAAGGTTGGCAGGATGGGAAATTCTTTAGCCTGGTTTGCAGAAAAGCATTCCACTGTACATCAGAGGGATTCCAATGGGACACAGAGAAGCTGTTGTTACCAACCAATTTCTAACACAATTCTCTACCGTACCAGGGTCTCCTTCCTCTTGCTGGGATGCGTCTGAGAGAGATTGTGAGTGCTATCAGCCACACATTTGAAATTTCTGGTAAGCCTGTTCTGCCGTTCCTGAAGGAACCTGTGATAGTCACAAAGCAGTGATACCCATGTTCTAGCCTTCAAGGACTAGCCTACATGGCTAGAAGATGAGAGGGGTTATGCAGCTACATGGACAACTACTGAAGCAGGGACATGCCTTCTCTCTAACATTCAGCCATGCTGGACAATATGCCATCCCTTTCTGGACTGAACTCTCACATCCAGCATATGCTATGGCTGTACAGAGGGATGAGACATAGCTAGATGAAAGGAATTTAGAATCTTAGTTTTTGCAAGTGGACACAACTGCTGCACAGCCTGAAACCAAGAATGCCTTAGGGTTAACTAGAATTCCTCACATGCAAGTCAAGATGCATTATAGGCTCCTCTTTACTCTGATTTTCTACTTAAACTAAACAGGAGGCAAATGCCGATGTCTGCATGTAGAACAAGGAAGCCACGTAACTGTCCCAGTGCCAAGCCAACATGTGCCATCGAGAACAAGACAAGATAGACATAAGCTTGTTTCATCATGAGATATCAGAGCACAGGTGGAACACGGCAATAGAGATAGTGAATGGGAGAGTGAAGGGGCAGCACACAGAGTTCATCCACCAGGCTCAAAGGCAGATCGCAACTGCCCTTCCTCAGACCCAGGGGTGTACGTTTCTTTGCACAGGGTCCATGATAGAATCCCGGCTTATTTGCTGCCAGAATTCAGCTGACTTCAACATGTGGGTTCAAAATCTCCAGCACCAAATCAAGATGGCAAATGCTCACTGCCCAGTCAGTCCCAACAATAACATCTCTTTTCTGGTGAGTCAAGGCAGAAGAGATGTAAAGAGAATGGGGTGAAAACAGGAAACAGTGGCAGCTTTGTAAGTGGACAGGGTTTTCCAGGGATTTTCAGAATGCAGGGTGGAACCAAACAATTACTTGAGGATGCTGTTCTAGGCTATGGCAAGTGAACTTGCTACACACAAATTCACACCTCTGCTCTATGCTCGGGAGAGATTTTAGAAAAATTACTGATCGTTCTTGTTTCTGGGATGTAGCTACTACTGGTAAAGAAAATGTGAGTTTCCTCTTATTACAGTCACAAAATAAAGACTTTTTGATTGCCGCACAAGTGCCGCGCCGCGCGCTGCAACACGCACACAGGTCACAAGATGGCATGGCTCCACTGCCATGGAGCGCCCACGGAGCTGTGCCTGGGGAGCTGCACGCAGCCACCCAGGGAGTCCTCCCAAAGCTTTGGCCCGCTCGGATCCCTCAAGGGCAAGAGCCAACTGGAAAGGCATCTTGTCTCCCCCCCTCCCCAGTGTTACTAACCAAACCCACTCCCCTGTTAGCGGGACAGCACCACTTCGAAACAAAAGGAAAACATCCCCTAAAAAAGCAACTCAAATGCCAAGCCCAAAGTGCTTTGAACTAAGATGAAATTCTAATTCAAACCAAATCAGTGTCTCAACCTCTGAGGAGGAGGAGAAGGAAAACGAGGCCTTTCCCTTTCAATAGCTAAAGCTGTTTGGTTGTCTCAGCTGCTGCTCATGAAACCACAGCACACATGATTTTGTTCAAGTAGGTGGGAAACCTACAGCAAATAGGACCTTTGCCATAGGTTTCACAATTTCCAAGTATATCTCTCCTAAACACCTTTCTTTTACCACCCTGTAACTCTGAAAAGCATCACACTTGTAGTTTTATCTCATTTTGCTCTATCTCAAAAAAAAAAAATAAAAGGTACCATGTGATGAACCATGGAAGAAAAGGGAGCTGATGAGACACCTGTTGTGTAACACCATTCTGAAGTGGGAAGGAAAACCTATTCAGCATCTGGGAAGGATACAGTATTTGACCATGGTGCAAGTGGCTAGTGGCTGCATGGGGGTAACGTACAATGTATTCAACTCTGGGTGACGTGGGTGGCTTTAAGAAGACAGGAACCAGTGGGAGTTTAGGCTCACACGGAACTGTTGGTGAACGAAAAGAAAAAAAAAGAAAAGCTAATCATGTCAAAGTCTCACAGTATTAAAGAGACAAAAGGAAATGCAGTTGTATTTCTGAAAGCTGCTTCTGACAATGTGTCCAAACTGTTGCACTCGACTTCCAAGGGAGTAGAGCTGGGAGGGACAGTCCACCCCTTTCCAATCACACACCAAGATCAATGTTTTCTAAACATCTCCTTGCAGATACGTGCCTGACATAGTCTAAAAAACCTCTCCACTTTGTGATACCCTATCAGCTTTCTAAACAATTAATAGCCAACCTGAATGAGAAATACAAAGAACAGCATCTGTGGCTGGCAGAGGAGCAACTGGGTGCTGCAGACATTTCCTAGTTTTGGTGTATTGCCACAGTCATTAAACTTCAAATTCTGCCTTTGTTGGAGACAGACCCACTGGAGTGGAAGTTATTGAACATTTTTGCTGTCTCTAAGATGCCTCTTTTCCACAGGACTCTCAGGAAAGACTGCTGATCTTATTTCCAGAATATCTGCTTTTCCTCTCTGTGGATAAGGACAGAACTACAATCACATACAAGGTAAAAGGAAATACTGGAAATGGTCAAATAAGTAAAGAACTAAAAGGAGCTGGAGCTAGGAGCAGCACCGGGTGATGAAAATGTCTGAATAGCAAGGAGAAAAGTGAGGAATCAAAGAGCAAGCACCTCTTTTCTTTTCTTCTTTGAAGGGAAAACTCCCCCTAACTGGAATCCAGGCAAAGGAGAAATCTGCTATGCTGGGGAGGTTACAGTTTGAAATTACAGGTATGTAACTGAAAAAGAAGGTATGAGAGAAACAGTTTTTTACTGAGAGGGTGACCGACCACCGGGACAGTTTGCTCAACGAGGTTGGGGAGCCTCCAACCTTAGAAATACTAAAAATGTGTCTGGACATGATCTTGGGCAACTGGCTTTGGGTCGCCCTGCCTGAGCAGGAGGGTGGGACCAAGTGACCTCCAGAGTTCCCTTCCAACCTCAACCATTTTGTGATTCTAATGAGAAACTGAGCAATACTGGTGCTCAGGCTTGCCTTGAGCATGGGTTATCTTGTGAAGTTGTTTTCTCACAAGGGACAGTCCCTGTGACTTTCCTTTGTACAGGCTAATAAACTGTGTGTCACGGCAAACTTTGCACAATTTTCCATCACCAAAATGTTCCCTGCTAATGTCTTGCAGGAAGCCTGACAGAGCCAATCCTTATCACCTGTTCCACAGCAGAGGATTATGAAAAATGCCTCTTCTACTTACAGAAGGTATTTTTCAGAGAATTTTACTGCAACAGTGTCTCTTTTCAAGCCTGGGATTTTCCCAACCATAAATGTATCATCCTCCCAACTTTTCTTCTCCTTTTCCACAAAAGACTCACCTGAGTAGGGAGTTGTCTTCAAGCCTATCTTTCTCCTGATCAGACTCATCCATTTGGCCAGTAAAATATCAGTGGGTATTTAAAAAAAGAAAAACACTCCATCAGCAGGGGTTGAATTTGGATCCTCTTAGGCAAAACACCAACCTAGCCTAGGAGTGAAAGACTGATACCTAAGCACTCAACTTGCACTGATTTCAATGGAAATTACATACTGAAATGAGCAGAACTACTGAGGGGAGGAGGCAAGCTGTTGGATCCTATTTCATGAAGCTAGAGAGACGTGTTATATCACACCACCTCCTAAAACACCCACGATTGCACTACCAGCTTATGACCTGGTTCCCTGGAAGTTATACCCATGTAAGCAGGAGTTAGTTCCAAGTATGTCCTTCAAAATAGGACCTTATCTAGGTTCTAGTTTTCAGAGTCAACCCTTTTTTGTTGGCCAGTACATATAGCACACCCTGTACAGTGTTTCCACCCTATCTGGGCTCAGAGGAGAGAAAGGCGAATCAGGAGCGGATGTTTTAAAAGCAGAAGAGATGTTGGGCTCTGAGTATTTATTAATCAATATGGCTATTCTATAGTCAAACATGGCTATGTTTATCTAGTGTGTAAATTCTTGGCAGAATTAGGATATTCACATGCTGAAAATATGTTCCAGACAGAGAAAACCCTTGATCCTCTGACTCTCCAGCCACCACCAATCATCCCTAAGAAATCCAGGCAATATCGGTAGGAAATTAGCATGCAGTGACAAGAAGAAGGCATATTGAATGCGATCCCAACAGAAAGTGAAGAAGCTGCAAGAATGAGTAAGAATAGACTGGAAATTGCAAACCAAGCTTCCTTCAGACTGAGAGGTGAATAAGGATCTACGCAGGAACAATTCTCCGCCGGCTGCTGTTTCAAGTGGGCCATAACAATCCGTGTAGGATCTTGTGATTCTGACCTCAGCTGTACACATGCCTCAAGGAGAAATCTTTCTCAATTTTCTCGCTATATTTATTGCCTGATTCTTATCAGAAAAAGAAAAAGTGTAAAATACTGTGTAATACTGTGTAAATACTACAAATAAAACCTTCATTTACTTGAGCCTAAACCATACGTAGAAAGCAACATCTGGGTACCTGTTGGTTTGGAGAGCCATTGCCTTCCTTTGAAATGGCAAGCACAGTGCAATTCTTGATAGTGAACAGTCCCTTTTCTACAGCTTTTCTTCCCTGCCTAAATCAAGAAAAAAATGTCAATCCTGGAAGTTTTCACAAACCAAAAATTCTTTCCCCAAATAACCATTGCTGTCTTCTACCCTCCAAGAAGAAAAACCCAAAAACCTCCAGGCTGAATCAAATCTATTCGTTTTGATGACTTCAAAATATTTCGCTTGGATTTTGAACACTTTAAGAATTTTTTTGCCACTCTACATATATGAACATGAGCAGACATAGTAGCATAACAAAACACTGCCTGCTCATATCCTTAGTTGCCTTCTGTTTGAGCAAAACCTCTAGCATGAGAAAAGCTGTTTTTATATCTCAGACATTTCTCTTATCTTGTTACTCTTTCACTTTTTTTGCAGCTAAAAGATGAGGAAATCCCCAGAGCTCACTGGGGCCCCAAACACCCGTGACCATTATTTATGTATGTGAGCGAATGACTATACAAAAGAGTATCACTGCCTTATTCTCTTAACTGCTACCCTGCATTTCCTAAAACAGTGTGGGAAGGTCTTTATCTGATTCTGAACAGCAAGCCACTTCTAAGTATAAAACACTGTTTTAAACAAAGTTAAAATCTTTATCTTAACAGTGTGAAGTTTCTTAAACGTTCGTGCATAGAGAAAACCCTGAAGAACTATAGATTCAGGAGAAATTTTTTTATTAAACTTTTGGAGAAGGTGCATGAAAACAAAGATAGAGGTATAACTCCTCTCCTCTGTTAGGTGCCACTTCCCTGCTCTGAAATTTTGCCATCATACCTTTTTCATTTTAGAAATCAAAATTCAAGGATACAGATCCAGATTGGAAGCACAAAAGGCTAAACGGTAACGCTGGATCTGGCACCAGGAAAATAATATACATTGCTCAGAGAAAAGCTGGTAAATTTGGTTCTAACGTCAGAGCTAAAGTCAATGGAACTCACAGCAATTGGAGGTTTCCCTCCGGAAGGCCAGCCACTTCCTCTCTTTCTGGAAGGCAAAGGGAACCTCAGGCACAGCTAAGTGGTATCAGCTTCTAAGAAATGACAAAACATGCTGCTACCAGCAGCTCCTTAAAGTTTGTTAATAGCATCATCCACAACGACGCTCCCTTTCTGTGTGTTACGACAGTGCATGTGCTAAAAGAGCTGGCTGTTAAGATGGTAAAAGGTTTTGCTGACCGAGTCTGAGACACTTAACACCCTCTGACAGCTTGTGAGGCTGTCTCAAGCAGAACGAAAAGGCACACTTTTCAGCACGTAGGAGAAATATAAATTCTGTTGCATAAACAGAATTGTTCCAGATTTTTTTTTTTTTTAGCAAAGCGCTATCCACTTTTCGGAGCCCTCCCTCACGCTCAGGCTGCGGCAGGGGACCCCTGTGTGCAACGCTGGTTTTATCTCCCATTTCCTCAGCAAACAAAGGCACCAGCTGGCCACACGGCACAGGTTAACAGCCAGGCAAGCCCTGTGAAACGCTGTCACTGCCGTACCCAGAGCCCTCCGCGCAGCAGAAGGGGTGCAGAGACATTGCTCAGCCTCAGCCAGACACTCACCATGACCACATCCAGCCCCAAGACATCACCTGAGAGTCGCTTCTCTCGCAGCCGGAGACGGACACCGCCAGCAGACCTCCAGCTCTCCAGCCACCCCAGAGCTGGGGCTGGTCAGCATCACGCGGTGGGCAGACAGCCTTCGCTGGGCTGCGACACTCAGCCCACACCTGCCGTGGGGCAGAGACACGGCCCTCGGAGCCACAGCCACCCCTGTCCTGGGCGGCAGCACAGACCCCAGCCCCGATGCCTGGCCGTGGCTGTAACGGAGCGATCCACGTCCTTACTTCATGGATGGGCTCAAGCGGGTGAAGTCAAGGACAGAACGAAGATTGTTGGTGAGGGCAAACACTTCCCAGAATGAAACGGCAAAATTCACATCAAGGAAAGGCTCCCAGGAAATGGCAATAACCCCTTACTCATCACTGGCAGCTCGAGAACTTTCGTTACAATTAGATTCCACAGTTCATAGGAAAACTCAGAGACAAGCTTAAGAGAAGTGCTGGACAACTCCTAATAAAACAAGGACTAAGTGATACCAACTGTCCCACAAAAAAATGCTTTTTTTCCCCAAACATGAAATACACCTTTTAAGCTTCACCCACACATAGTGTAAGATTTATTATGTCCTCAGTTAAGCCATGATTTGATGTTGCTTTTTTCTTAGCACTCTCAAGGAATTTTTTTTTTTTAAGATATTGCCATATATCGCATTTTAACTATTTACTTATGACAAGACTATTAATGAAACATTGCATTTCTAAATTTGCTTGATCATTTAGCCTCTAGAAACTTTGGAATATTTTCCAGGGATATTTTGTTTTCTCTTTTGAAAAGAGATTCAAGAAAAAACCAAAACACCACATTTAATTGGATGTAAATTATTTGAGGAAGAAGCTTTTTTAACCTACAGCCCATTTACAGAAATCAAGCTGAAGTTCAAACCAGAACTTGAAAAACCCCATAAACTCTGGGATTTGAGCTGAAAATTCGGCCATGATTTGACTCAAATATTGCAGTAATTGCACACTGATAAAATAAAGCTATTGTTCTTTCTGAATGGAAACTTAAATATACAGTTTTCTTACAAGCTCACTGTTCTGAGCAAATAGCTTTCATTTCCTTTGATGCAAAGAACAGCTCTTTTACTGAAATTCTCCAGGGCTTAAATGATTCACACTTTGGGTTTTTCCCTCTGAATTGGAGCTTTAAGAAGTCAGGAAATCGGTTGCTTTTCCCACTAATAAGCAGCCACAAAGTTAGGTGGTTAGGTAAGTGGAACTGTTCTTCAAGGTAGGCATATAGAAACCCAAAAGGCCACTGTGCAAATTTCCAATGAATAATATGGCTCTGTTGATCATGTTTCAATATTAACTGGCAGTAATGTCGGCTATTTGACACCTACAGTCCAGAGAGTCTTGTGCACCTCACCAAGATTTGCTGCATGTTGCCAGAGGCACAGACTTCCACTAGACCCTCAAATCTTTCATTCCTGAAATAGTAAGCTCCGTTGAATTTTTTTGCCCAAAAAGCTGCTGCTTCTCTGCTGCTATCAGGAGCAGAAAAAAACGTCAGCCACAGCTTCCTGCTATTTTGAGAGCGGGTAGTTGAAAAGCTGGTTTAGCCAGCAGCCAGGAAACGTTAAACCACTTGCTTAAAAATGGAAAAAAGTGCAAGTGTCCCAGTCTGAAATTCAATGACTGAAGAATTTTGTTGGGCGTACATTGCTGAAATAGCCAGAGTTCTGTAAGAGAAAGTGAACTGGGAAAGTAAAACTAAGTGCACTCAAGAACACTGGGATGACCTAAAGAATAAAACTCTTCCTTTTGAGTTTGCTTAATTAAATCACATAGGCACCTTTTTAAGTTTATTTTACCTTTACAAAAGGCTACAATCAGAAATCATGTTGAAAACATTAAAAAAAACAAGAAGGGTCAATACAGAGCTGAGAATAAACATGGCCAACACAGAAGAAGCAGTAAGAAGTGTCTTTACTAGCCAGTGTTTAGATTTCTGAGCATATTAAATCCCACAGCAAAACTGCTTATAAGGCAGAGACAGTCTTACGCCTTAGAAAAGTTATCCTGTTTAATCCAATTCAATGCTTTCACCTTTCCCTGGCTCAATCTCCAGTTCACCTCAATTAAGAATCTGCACATTTCCCAAAGCAACGGAGGAAAACTCACTGTTTTTAAGTGAATTTCACATAGGGATACTTCTGGGAAAAAATTATCAGTAACACAAGAATTAACAGTAAGAGGATGAAAGAAGGCAAAATACATTGAAAGTATTAATTATGTCTCACAACACGCTTTTAGGCTTGACAAGTATCACTGCTCCCATTCTACATGAAGGGGAAGCCAAGATATAGGGATGTTAGTTGCAGTAAATACAGTAACAGAGAAGCTTGAAGATTAAAACCAGGACTATGGAGGAATACGTTATAGTGAATAAGGATAACCCTTTGCACTCCATTTTCCCTTATAATTATTTAACCCACTTACAAGATTCTATAATACACAAAAAAAAAAAAAGGAAAAAGCAAAAAAACCCCAGGATAACTCCTCTTGACATAATTGCTGAAGAAACATTCAGAAATAAAACCATGTCCATGAATCACAAAATTAATCTTTCAGCTCTATTCATGCTTGCTAAAACCTTCTTCGGAGGAGGCTTCAAGAAAGACCTCAAGGAAGAGCTTAGAGAGAGAGAGAGAGACTAAGAGGTCTGGAAACCACAGCCTGTGAGGTAGGGTAAGAGTCTAGAGAAACCAAGGCAAGATGATAGCTTATGAATGCTTAAGAAGACACTGAAGAGTTAATTCTTCCTCACAATCACAATGGATAATATAAATTTTAACTAACAAAGTCTCTCTCCTCTCTCACTTGAAATTGGTCACCGGACTGGATTGCCTAGAGAAGTCATGGATTGCCTAGAGAAGTCATCCAAGCCTGCCTTGGAGCACAGAGGCTATGTGACTAGTTTACCAAGGTGATAACCTATCCAACTTCTCAGGATTCTCTGTTCAAGTGCTTTGCAACACATATCTGTGGAGGCAATAACTTCTGCTCCGCAGCTATTGTAATGTCACAGAGCCCTGCTTAAAACAACACGTCATTCAGACTTGGAATAATCGCCTCCGTGTATTAGTAACGTGATTGACAGAAATTTCATTATTCTGTTAGGATTTAATTTAGAAGCCCTGTACTGTTTATGTTATCTATAAGAAATCATGAGGAAGCTGATACAATGGCTGCACTGTGAGACATTTATAACTTCTCATGCAAAAGCCGAGTCAAAACTCTTTTTGCCCAGAGCTGGTTCAGTCATAAAAGAGTCTACTCCAAGCATCTTTCACCAGAAGGCCAAACCAGAAGCCATCCAGAGCTTTGAATCTATTACTGCAGCCACATAACACAAAAATAATTATATAAAAAAGACATGCAAGTTTTAACCAGTTGAAGCCACAGGCCAGATTCCTATTTGAAATCAGTGTCTATTCACAGAAAGCAACCAACTCCAGCTGAAACCCTGCCCCTTTAAACTCAGGCAAAACAACTAATTCTAGCCATGCTAGAGCTCGATGAAACTGGAGGAGCACTAATCTAACATCAAAAAACACCCTCCACAGCACAGTTTTCAGTAAGGAGAACATCTTTCAGCTGATGATCAAGTCACTGGAGCTATGCTGGTATACACCAGCAGGCACTCTGGTTCTTCTTCTGCAGTGGGGAAAAAAAAAGCATGAAGAACAAATGTTGAGCTTTTCTCTGTTTTCTGCTGTTTTTTCCTCCTCTATAAACTGGGTAGAGAAGCAAGCATTAAACTGAATGTCTTTCTTTATACAGCGTGATCCTCATTTGAGCCTTTCAGAAGTCTC